TAGCTATGCAAGCGACCTCAACGCAATAATTCAAACCCTTCAGGCTTTGTGAAACAAAATCTCCAAGTAAAGCTCCACTGAAAATTCTGATTTAATACTACAGTCCTTGTCAAATCCTGCAAAAGAGCTCAGCTGGCATAATAAGGGGCTAGTCCAGTTCCTGCTAACTCCCAAACCAAGGAGGACATCGAGGACACTGAGGACACTGATCAAAGCAGCTGAGTTTTCACTGCACTTTCCCTAAAGCTGGTCAGAGAGGAGTTGTCTACCAATCTAGAGCCATTTTAGGCAAGAAGTCTAATCCTTATTTCCTGTTTTATTTCTTGCACCATCGCTGGGAACTGCACCTCAGGTTTCTAGCTCCGAAGGGCAGAGCTCCAGCTCTTCAGTTAAGAGACTAAATTCAACAAGTAGATGTGGTAACAGGGTAATATGCTCCTGTGAAGGGTGGCTTTAGCATGCTTGGCTAATGCTTGAATTCATGGCCTATTTTTGGAAGGAGAGAAAACAGATTTTCAGCATTGCAGAAACAAATTCAGTAACACATACCTAAAGGGAAAATGTTGTTCCTTAGACAGTTAAGCACTTTTGAGATTCCCACTGCAAGGTGCCCAGCTTAAAAACCCCAGGCTGATAGCGTTGATTTCAGGTAAATGGAAGAGAAGGCTGCTTTCAAATTACAATTAATTTTGAAAACTTCAGCTACAAGATACCAATATGGGAAGGCTCTGCAAACAGTAAATACTAGTATTATTTCAGAGTACGAGTCAAAAAGCCAGGCACAGAGGCATTCTCTCAGAGAGTTGAAGTATGTGTGGTCCCTGGTACAACATTTGTTTATTACATTTCAGTGGTACCCACTGAGCTCTGCGCCAGCAGCCACTGGCTGTATTCATCTGAACTGTAAGACCGTGTAATTCAAAGGCCTCTAACACGAGCTTTTCTGCATGCATTTGATCAGAACATGAAGCAATGGCTAGAATGCATTTCAGGCTAAAGAAAAAGAAAAAAAAGAGAAGCAGCACTTAGGATTCATATGTCTGCAGTATTTCTATCATAGCGGTTAAGACACCACGGCCTTTTCAAATGGTTTCTTAACACTGATGTGACAATGAAAGCCTGCACAGAAGGGAATCAGAAAAGCTTTATTTCCAGAGTTCACTGGCCATACTCTCTTGTGTCTAGCAGTGATGTAAATGAAGAGGATTGCCAGAGTTGGCAGATCGAAGGTATGAAACAAGCACAGAGGCAGGGGACTGATTTTATTTCAAAGCGTCTTCATTTCACTCCACCCTTTTGCCTTCCTCCTCTGCTGATTGCCTTGGAGCAGCAGGGAGGGTTGCAAGTGAAATTACCCCTGAAGCAGGACCATTATCAGCTCTTCTGTCTGGCTGGGGAAAGAGCAGTGCTTGCAGTGTTGGCTCCCTCACAGGGGAAGACGAACAAGGAGCACGGCTGAGCTCTGAGCGCACACGCACAATGATGCACGGATGCTCCCAGTATGACAGTGCATTTATATCAACCTGCTGGAGTCCACTCTGGCATCGGCAAAAACCCAGCAAGCGTTGTATGTTGGGCTCTTCTCTGAAGGTGGGCCCTTGTTCTTTCAGACATGTAGACACTTTGGGGGAGATTTTGTCTGCTACTGACAGTTGGAAACAACGCTAGCGATGCCAAAACACCAAACTGTGGTTTAGGCTTTAGGACCTGCTGGAGTTATGAAGTGTCTGATTCTGACATTCATGGCAGTTCACAGCCTTGTGTCCCCAAAATATTCTATGCCAGGGAGCACTACTGCGGTGGTGGCAGTGAAACAGCCCTAACAATTCCTGGGGCATAAGCTACCCTCCAGTCCTGCCAGTCATGGCTAAACACGGCACACAGGCCGATGCATCTACCCAGGTCTCACATGATCACATGTTTACACAGACTTTCCTCAATCATTACTAGTATGGACTTTGTTGAGCTTGACACAGAAGGTTTCGTTGGTTTACATTCACAGACTGATGCAGCCTCTCTAACAGACCTTCTCCCTCTCCTGCAAAGGTTTTCAGATAAGCAGTAAAACCCACTCATTCTTTTCAAGATATTCTGACATGGAAAGTCCCAGAGGGCTTTCCTTGACATCTCTTTCACTTAGGATATTCTTGGTAATGCCAAGCAATGTGTACTTACTCGGTTCCAATGGACTTAGCCAAGATTTGCATTTGATAGGAGGCACCTGAGGCTTCAGGCAATTTAATACATTCATGTAAAATAAACAGTAAATATATATATATATATGTGCTGGATTGAAAAAGCATGACTCACAGTCTATGTAGAAAAGTACCAAAGACTTTGTAATGCACTGAGCATCATTTGCAGCAGTGGAAAAAAAGCAGGGCTGGGCCCAGCAAGCAACCATGCTGCCTAGCAGATTATGAAAAGTGACATGTGAGCCAAATTTGAGAAGCATGTATCTTATTTAATGATACTCTACACTGATTTCCATTCTAGGGTTATAATTCAATGTTCATTTCTCCAAGTCCTTTCTGCACCAGTACAAATAACTCAATTCTTTTGTAAACTACCAGTGCAGTACATTCCCTTTCTCCTACCTCTTGACAGGATAGTAATAAGGTTCCACATTTGAGTGATTTCATTTGAAGGCTTTATATATATATATATACACACACATCACATGGAACTACCAGTGCAGTACATTCCCTTTCTCCTACCTCTTGACAGGATAGTAATAAGGTTCCACATTTGAGTGATTTCATTTGAAGGCTTTATATATATATATATACACATCACATGGACAGCTATTTAATTTTAGGCTATTTTAAATGGTGATTTCTGTACCTGAATTCTTTGTTTCCCAAAGCCTTAACACCTTTGTTAAACCATTTTAGCCATTTGTTGGCTTTCTGTATAACGGTGTTTAGATTTTCACCTACACAAGTTGTGAAGAGAGAAATTATTTGGATTAGCTAATTTAACCAAATTTCACAGACAGCATGAATAGTACTGAGATGAAATCCAGTTTCTTGGAGAAGGAGACTTAAGTTTATTAAATTAAATACAGTCCAACTGGACTCTGCTCCATTCCAAGTAAGGAAAAATAAAGTAAAATTTGGGTGGCTATCTTAATGAAGCTGCCTTGGTACATAGCTCTCAATAATCATTGAAATAATGCTGTTTATCAAGCACAAATGGCAAAGCACAAATTGTTCTTTCCCTATGTTTCAAAACAACTCAAAAGGAATGAAAAAATGTTTTAAGGAAACTGGACTTAGGTACATACATTCTTCCATCTTGCTGTGGGAGCTAATATTTGCCTTTATTACTTTCAGGGTGTGATTCCAAAAGTACTCAGCGCTGATCTTGTTCCAATTCCTCTGAAGTCACCAGTAAAACTTTCGTTAGCTCAAAAAGATAGTATTGATGTTGGTTGCTTTTTTAAAAGAGCTCATTACCTTGGTGTTGCAGAAGCATTTTTCTTGAAGAATTGGCAAAGGTTAAAAGAAAACCCAATAACAGAACAAAGCAGAGTAACAACCAAGTCTTTTTCTTGTTGAAGTAATGACTCATAAAAGGGTACAGCCATTCCCTAACCTTCAAAGGTTTTATCAGTTCTGCTTAGAACTGATCATCGCCAGTGATGATTTTTTTAAATATGCAAATAAGATAGCTGGCTGCATTACAACTATGTCAGGTTCCCAGTCAGAAGGCAGCAGAGATGAGCCTCAGCTCCGGAGGTTGAAGATCGAGGAGCAATGGAGTTTGGCAGGCTCCCGGAAGAAGCTGTATCTCAAGTACCTGTGCTCTGGTTTTGAGGATAGCGGGTGAGACATAAAAAAGCAAGTTGGCCTTATATAAAATCTATTATACCACAAAGCACTTGGTTAAAAGCAAGTTGCTGCTTAGAAATTATGCGGACTCATCAACTGGTCTTCACCCAGAGTCGAATTTTTTTTCTGAATTCCTAACATACAGCTGAAGAACTGAAGTTGTTTCTTGGCTGTAGCGGAATCTAAAGAGGCAGTCAGTCATTTATAGAGGGACACCTTAGGATATGGTAAGCAATCCAGAACGTCCCTATATCCAGAATGCTCAGAACAATATGGCTGCCGTGGTGTCACTTCTGACATCAGATATAAACTTCTTCCCAACCTATACCTGAATTTCAATGTTGATATATCCTGAGGGTACTGTTTAATAGCATGGTATTCATTCTGAATGCACTTTACTATATTACGGAATATTTTACCTAAACACTTTGTTTCACTGTCACCACCATTCACTAGAATTCGTTATTGCTGCAAGAATCATCAAAATACTACTGAAGGTGAATAACTCTAGGGAAGGGAAATAGAGAAATGGATCAAACAAATTAATCAAAGTACATAGATACTCCAAGTTTGAAATTGAGAGCATTAAAATAGAGAGAACGTATTAAAAACAGAGAAATATTGGCTATATTGTGAAGAGCACCCCATCCTCTGCAAATTCTCTCTCCTCCTTCACAGATACACACAAGACAACAGGATAACTATTTCTTTAGGGTTCATTTCTCATCTAAAGTCAGAATATCCATGAGCTTGTACCATAATTACTCCAGCAGCTAATTATGATGCCATAGACAGACCATTGTGACTCAAGGACCAGCCTGAGCAGCAGGAACAAATACAAAGCAAACAATAATGTCTGTGGTCCCACGGCAGCACAGTGGCTTTTAGCAATAAATAGAAAAAAGAATACACAAAGATTCAGAAAATGTATGATGTTCACAAATACTCTCTACAGACAAAGTGTTTTTAAGATTAGACTAAGTGTTCCTACAAGCAGCATACAAACTTTGAAGAATGCAGTGAAGAACGTGAATGTGAAAGAACATAGAATGTGAAAATTTGCAAATACAATTCTCCGTAACAGAGGATCAGGGAAAGCTTGTGGTCATATTTATACTGTTTCATGCTGAGCGGATGACAAGGCTTAAGAATAAAACCGGTACTTACATCCTGAACTGCCGTTCGTTGGCACCAAAGTGAAGTTGGAGGCCCAGGGGTTACGCACGATATCCTGCCAATGAATGGTGTCTGCGAAGCAAAGAAATTTGTTCTGGCCAACATACACCCCTCCATTCAGTATTTCTGCATAAAAGAACAAGAGAACATACTTGTAAGACTTCAGACATACAGCTGATTAAATCTATTGCTGCTTTGTGTACTGGAGAGAGAGGGCATGAAATTTAAATGCAAAAAATTCTCACTGTAATCTCACTTAACACTCTGAAAACTGGAGGGCAAGTAGCTTACAGCATTTCTAAACAGGAACCATTTATTTATATGCAGAAGAAACCTGATGAAGACAGCCACACAGTTGCTAGATGAGTTACTGGGTTTACCTGTTGTTCCAGTGTAATCAAGTATGAAACAGTACTGTTATTTGTGGGTAAAATAACCTTGAAGACTTAACTGACTTTAAAAACACGAGCAATCAACCACACTATGCTGTATTTCATTAATATGTATGAACGCTTAAAACATACAATAAACTAATGTGCTCCACTGGGGTAGTAATTTTCTGAGCCCACAGTACATGAGAAGGGTCCAGTCATCACAGTGTCTGGAAAAGCGTGTTTTCTGATCAGACTGTGCTGCTGTAATACCATGATCCAAAATACTCAAATACTCAATATCTATGATCCAAATCTCAAATACTATGATCCAAAACTACCATTGACATGCCTTGCTGGAAGCTTTGTGTTGAAGGAAGATGGTTTCTGAGCAGACGGAAGTGTTGGGGTTTTTTTTAAATTTTCATGTTTATATCAGTTTGTTTAAAAAAAAAAGGCTTGTTACCCTGTCTCTAAAGACTTGATTTGTCAAATCTTAACATGAAAATGATCTTACAGTTGTTGGTTGTAGCACCAGCATTTCCTCTGAAGCAATAACTTGTTTTTTTTACCCTCTAAACTCTTGTTCAGATTCACAATTTCTCTACTTAACCTGGCTCTCATTTCCAAAGCAGAGGACAATCCATGTGACTTTCATTAAAGTTAACAGGAGATATGCAGCTAAAACCTCCTGCACTGCTTAGTGTCAGAGATTCAAGCCCCAGCAAAGTAATGTTGAAGGTTAGTTACTAATGGCACCTTAGAATGACATTAAGTGGTGCTATACAGCCAGGAGTGTCACACTTCTCACAGAGACATCTTGACTACGGTAGCAATGATTAAGGTCGTCTGATAGTCCTCATCTCCCAAGAAAACCTTTAAAACCTTAAAAGCTGTAGTGGGAATGCTAATGTTGACAAACAACAAGGAAGGAATTAAAATTTCAGGGTTTACAGGCCACAGCATGTAAAGGAGGTAGCCCCCAAGAAACGAACATATTAAATAAAGGATCATCTGTAAATACATACTTCCACCATATTAATCAGTTCAGAGTATTACTATTTCTTAGAAACCTCTGGTTTAAAAGCTTGGCTTTTCATTGAAAAGGGGCTTAAAAATGAAAATAATAATAATCTTATACAGAAAAGAGTCCAGATTAGAGATATAGCAATGATCTGTCTGTATGATATTCTTATGACCCCTGAAAAAAACCATACAGCATCTGTTAGCAATTCTGCTCTGGGGAAAAAGTGGGACTTAGAAGAACACTTGAAAACATGACTAGTGATTATTTCTCTGTGTTGTCCCAGCTATACAGGATTACCTAATCCATTATGGCCCAGATTTTGATTAAAAATAATATCTAACAAGCTGTGAAAAACTGTAAAATCTACATTCATAGCTTCTTAAACACTTGCACATGATTCCAAATAGTGTCACTATCAGTTGGTACATCTGAACACCCGCCACTGGCGCAATTTCTGGGTTTTAGAGCATTCACTCATGACAATACCTATCAAATTTTCTTTTCTGCTAGGAACTGTGATGCATTCTTGTATAGCAGGCAGCATCCCACTCTAAAAGTAATTATGATAGTTTTAATTTGTGGAGAAAGACTTTTTTCAGCATAAAAGTAACCAGAAAGTGTCCCCGCTGTGCTGTAAGGAAAGCTGACAGCTTTCCTTGTGATTTACTAAAAACAAACATGGAAAATGCTCTGACTTCCCTCATCACTGAATAATAAGCATTATTCCTGCTGCCCTTCCCCAAAACCGTGATGCAGTATCTTTATTTGCCCTGCACTGTACCATTTTTCACAGGTGACAGGATTAAAGTTTACAGGTCTATTCGTGCGGTGAGACGCTAATAAACCTGAGTAATAATATCAAAGATGGGCTCTTACAGATATTAAATAATCCTGAGTTCAAAGTTTAGTACAATCTTTAAAGTACTTGTGCTTGACTCTTCCTGCTCTGTGGGATCCAGATTTATTCCCTTTCTACCTTCCTGTTCCAACCTGCTATCCTACTTTTCTTTATGCTGAGTCCTCAGCATGTGTAAATCAGCACAGATGCACTGGCTTCACTGACTTAAACTCAAATGCATTTTGCACTTCTCTGCCCTCTCTTAGCAAAAACAATGCCTGGAAAGACCTAATAAACCCTGTTACATGTTAAGCAAACGAAGCACAAATGTAATCAATATACAATAGAGTTACTGTATAATGAACTCATCATCATAAAGTCATCATCTCATTTTAATTTACAGCACTGAAAGTGAGAGATAAAGTTAAACAATAAACAGGAGGAGAAAGGCAGGCATCTCTGCCTATGCAGACGAGCTAGAAAAGGAAGCCAGGCAAAAAGAGCTTTCTTCTCCTGTGTACAACACCTGAGGTGCCTCTTTGCTGAACTCTTTCCCAGGCTGGAGCAGGAAAGAGAATGACAAGTCCCCTAGTGAATTTTGTGATTTCTACTGCAAAGAAAGAAGCTAGTTCCTGCCAAAGCAGCACTAAAAAGGACTGCTCACAGTGGAACGTTTTTTAAATACCACTATTTAATGTATTTTTGTCTTCTAAAACAATTTTTTGTGATACTGGAAAATTCTTAGTCTAAGTACAACACTGCTGCCTGGGACAGGAGGCAGAGCACTCAGCAGTATCAATTGCTGCCTGAAATATCTACTGTGCCGCGCTGGCAGCAAATGTTACCCTTGGACTTCTATGCTGCTCAGGGACACAGAGTTACAAAAGAGGATTTTGAAGCACAAGTCCCACTAGCTTTCATTGGGAAAAGAGTTCCTAAAGGTTTCAGACAAGTTTGGATGTCTTCCTGTAAGGTACTGATGGCCACACTTAAGAGTACCACAATCTCCCATTTTGGCACCTGGGCTGCAGCCGGTGCTCTGAGCAAAGGAGTAGCTCCAAGGTCTTTTGCCACTTGATTCTGAAGTGAATGCAAAATCTTATCATCTTCCTTATTAGAATTACTTTACTGGCTTAAAAGCAGTATAATTCTGTAACTAAAGTTATATGAAAATAAATCAGGAAGTGCACTCGCCAATGACTTCTGTCATTATTTTGCTTATTGCTGCCAAATGATTGTGGGGAACTTATATCTGCATATTATTAAAAGTCTATTAAATAGTTATTTATTCAGGAAGCTAAATCAGAAATGTATTTTCCGTTATATCTGCTATTTTCTTGCTTCCATTAGCCCAGTGATGAAGCAGAACCATTACCACATAACTTTGGTAACCTACCATACAATACTTATAATACTAACAGGAGAAATGGAAACATACAGGTCTCTGGCAACCATGAAACACAAGTATCTTACACTTTCCATAAAGTGCCATGGAACACAGATAGGTACATCATGCACAATTTATAGTCTGCTAAGTTCAAAAAGGGGCTAAATTCATAACATCTATTCTAATAGAATGAGTTTGACTGGAGTCAGTGAAAATGTGTTACCAGCCACCAGAAGCTTCAGATCACTGTAAATAAGGCAAAGGGACACTAGCTCTGCAAGTGTGTTGTCTGTTTAAACCAGAGATGGAAAGAACGCTTCTTCATCCATCTGTTAAAAGGGCATTTTCTTCAGCTGACTTTTCCTTGTGCACAGTGTAATCCCTCATGGTCTGTTATCTAATTTCTAATGTGGATTAAATTGGCAAAACGTTCACATTCAGCAACGTATCCTGAAGTGCCAGTAACTCGTGTGTGTTGCTATGCAGTGGGGGCTGTAGGCACCTATTTCACAGTAGAATCTGGTTCTCAAATTGTTATAAAATTGGTTATAAAATTGCTATTGCTATTCAAGGTTGCAAATTAAAAGCTTTTCTCTAGTGTTATGAAGCCAGCTGGCACGATGAACTGGAAGAAGGCATAGTGAGAGGGAAAAGAAGTAGCTTTAAAGTGGGCAGAGAAAGGGGAAGGAGTTAATTAGGAAAAACTGTTGGGCATGTCCACTGTAACCACTTCAAAAGCAAAACAGAAGACATCTTATACCTTCCAAGCTGACTGTCTGCTAAGGAAACAGCTGTCTTTTACACTACACCATATACAGGTATACTCTGTCCATACGTATTATATAATGCTTGTTGATGATACCTTAATTTCCAAGGTCAGCCTCCATTAGAGCTGAAGCATCTCTGCATGCTGACAGTGCTGCATCTTCGCCGTCATCACCCAGGTGATGGGGATCTGTTGTCAGATGCTGTATCACTCTCAAAACACTGTCATATTTCACCCAAGATGCTGAATGCATTATCCGAAAATGGCTTTGGCCTGGAAATTTCATGCGAAACCAAGTTTTTTGATCTCTTAGCACAGTTGATTGCTGATGACCCACTGGGAAAGCACTTCAGGTCCATCATTAATAAGCTATGTCTTAAAGGGTAATGAGAACTGGGTGCTTTAGGAGACAATAGCTCATCCATCATCAATCAAGATCTGAAGTTTTTATACAGATGATTTAAGAAGAGTTGGACTGTGTAAAATTGAAATGTCACATTTGTATTGGGAGATGGGGGGAGCTTGGTAATGAAAATGAGAGTTTTAACCTTCTCCATTTCAGCTCAATGACCATACTCAAAAGCTCATGGATGTGGAATCTGTGTACCAGCTAGAAGCCCCAGACAGCCTTCGATCTCAATTATACAATTTCAAGTAAAGATTATTTGGGTCATTAGCTGGAAGTCAGTTTCAAGGCTTGATGGTAACAGCAAGATATTCTTTATTTCTATCAAAAG